AAAACTGAACGATATAAGGGCGAGGTCATGATGTATGGTATGAATCAAAGTGAAAATATTATGACACGAGGTCAGGGTAAATGGCCGAGGCTGAAGTGGGAACGTTATGACAAGGTCATGTAATGTACGGTTGAAGTCAAGTGACAATATCATGACAAGTGGTCATGTGATATATGGCCGAAGCCAAAATGACAATATTATGACACCTGGTCATGTAATATATGACTGGAGCCAAAGTGAAAAATCATGACACGTGGTCATGTAATATATGGCAGGAGCCGAAGTGACAAATCATGACACATGGTTATGTAATATATGGCCGGAGCTGAAGTGACAATATTATTAGTGGATATGGACTAACCCAAGAAGTAGTTAATATGGTTTGGTTAAATTTGAACTGGTTTTTGAAATGGAACCGAAAAGGGAAATGAAGTAAATTTATACAAGTTAATTCCAAAGGCCGACATTGTTCTCATGTGACACGTTGTAATAAATGGCGCAATTAGGAAAAACTATCGAATTTGAAAGGACGCAATCATGACCGTCAAGGGGGAGTGAGGCTTCAATATAAATAGCCGGGCTTGAGTTATTCAGAATTTACCTTGCTAATTTCATAGTGAAGCGCTGTCAAAGTGAAACAAGAGCACCTCATCGTCCAAGCTTGCAGTTATCTAGAAAATCTTCCAAGTGTTTTAGTTCAGCCACCACAAGTTCAAGTAATCTCTTGAGCTCGACTACTGATTTCACTATCTAATCTAAGTCGTTTTAGACCTAAGATTAAGTTCGATAGGGAATGTTAGCAATGGGTCTGAGATCGAAGTAAAGAGTAAGGAAATTAGTTCAGGATCCTAACTGTTTTCCCCATCCTAGTTGTAGTGAGTCACAAAAGATGTCTTTAGAAGAGACACTAAGTATTGGAAGTGGAGAGGGGGAGCAGAAGTTGAGCTCGACCAACAGAAGTGAAATAGAAAGTTCCAAGAGTGGAGGGAGTGACGGGGTTGGAGGTGAAATGGAAGAGGTTGGGGTTTCTTCCAATGTGTTAAAGGTGGATCATAGTAGGGCTAAGTACTACAATGAAAAGGAGGAGGTGGTGGGATATGAGAGTTTATGGAGGAGTAAAAGTGACCTTGCCCATTTAGTGAAGCAGTATTCCATCCCAGGGCACGTCTTACTTAGGCCAGCTGGGGAGATGGAACGAACGTGTTCGACTCTAAGAGACCATTGGATGCCAATATATGGGCACTACTTGATGGTTGGGCTTAGGTTTCCACTGCCTGAGCTATTAGTGGCGTTGCTGGTGGCGTACATGCTGAGAATAATGCAGCTCGTCCCAAATGCTATTCGGCTGATCCTAGGATTCCTAGTCTATTACCGAACATGAGGTGTTGTGCCTACGGTTAACATCTTTAAATATATTTTTTTTTAATAAAGAGGGGTAGTAATAAGGAGAATGGGTGGTTCTATTTCACACCTCAGGTGGCTGGTGGGGAGGGAGGAACCTATTCAGCGTAGATCCTTCATCTATAAAGGGGTGGAAGGATAAGTTTTTCTTTGTGGATGATATGGAGTGGGGGAGGTCAGATGCAGAGGTGGCTGAACTTTGTAGGAGGAAGATGAAGAAGGTTAACCCTAACCAGTATTCATTAAATTCGAGGGAACAGGATGAGGTGGAGAGATTGGAGAGAAGGGGTGGGGAGGTAATAGATATCATGTATCTCACTAGCCCAGCAATGTTAAAAGCGGCAGAGATCTATGGGCCAAACTCCATGAGCGGAGGTCGATTTATTTATTTTTAAGCATGTCTAAGGTATGAAATAAACGTTTTACTAATTCTTTTTAATCTTGCAAAAGAAATGAATTGACTTATGTCTAGAGGTAAGACTGTTATATGCATGAGAAAAGGTCAAAGGCTTCAACTGCCCTGTTTGTTGGGGAGAGGGGAGAGGCTAGTGGGTGGGACTTCAAGGTCTTACCTAAATGGAAGGGCCCCAACTGAAATAGGGCCCAGCTCGAAGCAAGGGAGGAAGACAGCTAAGGAGGTTGCTACGTAGAAAAAAAGGAGGGTGGAGGAGGTGCAACAGCCTCAGCCTGATGCCCTGATTGAGTTTGTGCCTCAACCTCCACCGATGTAGACTAATCCATCTCTACGTGAAGTGGGGTGGT